CTATCTCTCACTCTATATGAAATAAGTTCCAATTGCATCTTCATATCCTTAACAGAAGTCCTGAAAGGAAAAAATTAATGAGATGAACAAACAGCTCTCAAAGGAAGATATACAAATGGCCATTAAATATTTTGAAGCATTCTTAGCCTCAGGAAAATGACAATTACAATACTCTAAGTCAGAGTACCCCAGTCAGAGACTACCATTACAAAGACCAAAAAAAAAAAAAAAAAAAAAAAAAAGCCAGGCATGGTGGTACATGTCTTTAATTCCTATTCTGGGAAGGCAGAGACAGATGGATCTCTGAGTTCAAGGCCAGCCTGGTCTACAGACTGAGTTTCAGGACAGCCAAGGCTGTTATACAGAGAAACCCTGTCTTGAAAACAAAACAACAACAACAAAACCCAAATAACAAATGTTGACATGGATGTGAGGAAAGAGGAAATCTTCTTCACTGCTTATGTAAATGCATATTTGTGCAGTGAGTATGGAAACCATTATTGAGAAACAGTTATTGAGAATTTTCATATGACCCAGCTGTAGTGGAAATTTTGGTTTCTTTAAAAAACTCAATTATGTTATGTAAACAATTTTTAAAAATGATTACATTTTATTCACTTTGTATCCCAGCTGAAGCCGTGACCCTCCTCCCCTCCCAATCCTGTCCTCCTTCCTTCCGTTAAGGGACTGACTTAGTTCATTCACACCTGATGTTTGTCTCAAAGAGGGGCATTGTCTTTGCCAGCTGGAGATGGTTTAACTCTGAGAGGAGTCTGAGAGGGCATAAATACCAGAGCACAGAGAGTGGAAGGATTGCTTCAAGGAGATGGAAAAAGAATGCTGCTTTTCATCCTGCTACATTTGCCCTTTGCTGTTGCTGGATTGCTAGATATCCTGGCAACTGAGGTTGGTGTTTTCTCAAAGAATCCAAAGACCCTAATCAGCATTAACTAAGTCAAAAGAGGTCTACATTCCCTGTCCCTTTCAACGTTCTTTCTCTCCTACTTAGTGTTGGAGGGTTGGTGGAAAGAAGGTAGAGGCATAAGGAATCCCAAATAAAATAGAGTTTAAAAAGTAGCGCCTATGCTGCTGGGCATGGTGACATGCATCTTTAAAATCAGCACTCAGGTAGGCAGAGGCAGGCAGATCCCTGTGAATTTGAGGTCAACCGGATCTACAAAGTGAGTCCAGAACGGCCAAGGCTACACAGAGAAACCTTGTCTCGAAAAAAGAAAAAAAGATAACACCTACACCCTGGGACTAAAACAAAAACATGTTTACAATAACATAACAGTTTTTAAAGACACCAAAACTTCAACTACATATGTGTATCCTTGCTTACCTATTCATTTATAGGTAAGTGTGTATAGAGTCTAGGAAACAAGAAAGGTGACTGTGGAAGTGAAAAAAAAGGAGGATTTAAGGGCAGCATGTAGAAAGGGCAATAGAATACATTCAACAACAAAGGGAAAAGGTGGAATACTGTGGGCAGAACTGTATAAGCAAGGACAGGGAACTGGAACAGGGAGATGTGGAGGGAAGTTGGGGGTCAAAGTAAGTTTGTATAAAAATGTGACAAGGAAACCTATTATTTTGCAAGCCAATAAGAAAATAAAATGAAGATTAGAAAAAGTTAAGTTTTATGTTATAAGTAATACTGGAGAGTTGGTTGGAAATGAAGAAATAAGTCTTGGAGTAGGGTATTAGCTGTAGGAGACTCCACAGTAAAATGACGGGAGGTCTGTGAGACCTGAATGGCTTCTAAAGGCTCTTCCAATTCTAATTAGGAAGAAGATGCTTAGAGTTTGGTGAGGTGGTGGGGACGCATATGCATGTGTATAAAACTGCGGTGTTTTATATACATGCATAGTATACATCACCAAAAGATGACAGCATTATCTTTATTTTCAAAATCTTTCCCACATTTATTTATTGATCGATTGACAGTGACATTATGTATAAAATGTGTTGTGGCTGTATCCACCTCCAATCACCCTCTTGTGTCCCCTTCCACTCTCATTGATTCCGTTCTTTCCAGTGAGTCCCACTCCCCTCTTTATGAGGGCCTTGCTCAGGCAGCCACACCTGCTGTGTGTTCATGATTGCAATAGCCCTGCCATATCCAGAAGATGGTGTTTCCAGCTCCTTTCCATTCTCTACCTCTGACAATCTGTCCTCCTTCTCTTCTGTGTTGCTCTCTGAGCCTGGGAATGTATGACGTAGATGTGCTATTTAGGGCTGAGTACTCAGTATACTTACTCTCAACACACTGACCGGTTGTGACTATCTGTATTAACTATTACCCCTGCAGAAAGAAACTTCCCTGGCCTAAACCGTGAGCAGCTCTAGTCTGTGGGCATGGATATTTAGGAAATATTTCATCTCTTAGTTAGAGTTTTTATTACTGTGAATGACACCCTGACCACAGCAACTCGTGTAAAAGAAAACATTTAATTGGGGCTGGCTTACAGTTCAGAGGTTTAGTTCATTATCATCATGGAGGGAAGCATGGTGGCATGCAGGCAGACATGGTGCTAGAGAAGGAGTGGAGAGTTCTATGTCTGGATCAGCAGGCAGCAGGAACAAAGAGAGAGACACTGGGCCTGGCTTGAGCATCTGAGACCTCAAAGACTATTCCCGGTGTCACACTTTCTTCAACAAGGCAATACTTCCCAATAGTGCCACTTTCTATGGGCCCATAGGGGCCATTCATTCAAATCACCCAAGTTTGTCTATATGTCTACTTAGCAAAATATCAGTATTACGTTCTCCCCAAGGGCCTGTGGTCTCCTCAGTGATAAGCTTTTAACCAGGTTTATAGGACCAAGTGTGTGTTCACTTTCCTGGAGTGGACATAAGATCCAATTAGAAAGTTGTTGGTTGGCCGAATCCCGCCGTCCTGCGTCTGCAGCCATGCCCTGCTCGGAAGACGCGGGGGCCGCCTCAGTCAGCAAGCGTGCTCGGGCGGAGGATGGCGCTCGGCTGCGCTTCGTGCGGCTCTCGGAGCATGCCACGGCGCCCACCGGCGGGTCCGCGCGCGCCGTGGGCTACGACCTGCACAGTGCTTATGATTATACCATACCACCCATGGAGAAAGCCATTGTGAAAACAGACACTCAGATAGCTGTTCCGTCTGGGTGCTATGGAAGAGTAGCTCCACGATCTGGCTTGGCTGTAAAGCACTTCATAGATGTAGGAGCTGGTGTCATAGAGGAAGATTACAAAGGAAATGTTGGTGTTGTGCTGTTTAATTTTGGAAAAGAGAAGTTTGAAGTAAAAAAAGGTGATTGAGTTGCGCAACTCATTTGTGAACGGATTTTTTTATACAGACTTAGAAGAAGTTCAAACACTGGATGACACCGAAAGGGGCACAGGAGGTTTTGGCTCCACGGGAAGGAATTAAAAGTTTGCTTGAAAATATTTGCTGTTTCAGCGCTGTAAACAGGAGCTTAAATTTTGGCAGTATTTCTTGTTCTAGGCTGCAGGAAAGGACCCTGTTAGTACCCCTTTGGAACTGCTCTGTCTCTGCAGTTGATGGTTGTAAATCTATTGAGGATGGCATTGATATGCAGATTTCGCAAAATGAAGTGTACAAGTAGATTTTTTTTGTTTTATTCCTTAAACTAGAGTCTTCAAGTGGTTTTGCTCTCTTGCTGTATCAGTTGTAACTTTTTTCTGTAATAAAGTTGAAGTCTTTAGCAAAAAAAAAAAAAAAAAAAAAAAAAAAAAAAAAAAAGAAAGTTGGTGGCTAGCCCATAGTAGTCATGGCACTATTTTTCCAGTGGGCAGATATTTCCTGGTAGGTCAGAATATTAGCATACAATATCCACCAGCCATCACCATGTTTAATAAAGCCATGGATTCTTTCTGCTTTATGGTGGGAGTATACGAGAAGTGAATCCAAACAATCCATGATGGAAATAGTAAGAATATCACGTGTTGATCCAGACATAGAGGCAAATGTCTGTAATACCCAACGCTTGGGAGGATGTGATGCTGAGGTCAGCCTGGGCTACACAGCTAGGTTTGTTCCAGTACCAAACCAAATCACAACTAGACAAAACTAAACAAACAAACAACCCAACAATAGAAGAAAAGATGCTATATGGAAGACATTAACTTGAGAAAAACAATGTTTTTTTTTTTTTTAAATACAGGGTCTTATGTATCCCAAACTGGCCTTGAACTTTCTATGTACCCAAAGATGATTTTGCGTTCCTGATACTCCTTTCCCAACTCCTACATATTGGGAGCAGACACACCACAACACGCAGCATTAACTGCCACTTTTAACACTTGGCAAGGAGGTTGAAATACAGGATTCTTTTTGAATGTGCTCACCCAACATATTTTTTTAGCCCAGTCTTCCACTTCTTGCCCTCTTCCTTTTCTGTTTTTCAAGGTTTTGTGTTACTGTGCAAAAATAATAACAAAACAGAGATATTTAAGAAAGTGTAGACATTTCATCCATTCTTTTTTTTTCTTTTTTTAATTCTAGGCTTTTGAAATAATGAATAGCAGTAGTTTAATTTTTCACTTCTACCGTATTCAGGCATATATTCGCACATAGAGAATTACATCATCTATTTATTTTCTGCCACAAACGACAATGATGATGATAGCAGTGTGCCCACACTGTGTGTGTAATGTAGAACCTTTAACGCCTTGTATTTTCTTTCCTTCCATTTTGGGAAGAGAAACTTAGGATAGGGCAACTGGTCTCTTCAGCTCTTGTATTATGTTCTTGTTGTTCTGCTTTTCCTTCTTTTTGAGACAGGGTCTTGCTAGATATCCCAGACTGGTGCGGAGCACAGAATGCTCCTAGGCCTTTCAAGTGCTAGTGTACTGCCTCTCACAGCTATCTTTGTTCTTTACAGTCAATACTGCTGTGTAAGCTCCATCAAAGTCACGTGGGTCAAACCCTACGGAGCAGTCAGAAGACAGTCTTCAGAAGGGACTCCTGAGTTCAAAGGGACCTCCCCAGCTGTCCCTAAGGCAGCATGAAGATAACCGTCAGAAAAGGACATCCTTTCCTTGCTTCTGTGGCTTTGCATCCAGGACGAACCTCTTCCCCACCTACACAGGGTTTTCTTCCTGAAGCTGCTGGCACTCAGGAACTGGGGACTCAGTGCCAGGTTGGCCGTGTCCTGCTGCAGATGTGGGGACTTGTTCTCTGTCTCTTCCTGATGGTGGGAGGTGAGCACCAACCTAATAGAGAACATGGCAGGGAGTTTCCAAAGTAATTTTCCTTCAGCCAAATGATTGCACCTTTTATAATGAAAAAGTCTTTGCTGATAGATGTTTTCTTTTTGTCTGTTTTTGAGACAGGGTTTCTCTGTGTAGCCCTGGCTGTCCTGGAACTCACTCTGTAGATCAGGCTGGCCTTGAACCCAGGGATTGCCTAAATCTGTTTCCTAAGTGCTGGGATTAAAGGCATGTGCCACCACACCTGGCTTCATTTTTTTTAAAAATTATTTTTAAAGAAAGTTATACTTACTTATGGTGATAGATATTTTCTTATGAGGTACCCACTGTTATTGGCCTTCTAAATAATGAACATTGCTGCTCTTCCCATTGCTGCTGCTATTTCTGATACTCATTGTTTTTCTTAATAACTTTCTGTTTCTAGAAATTTTCTTGGACAACATGGAAGCATGATATTATTTTATTAATTCTTTAATTTTTTTAAATTTTTAGAATTTTATGCACGTATAATCTGGTCACAGCATCTTCGCCCTCCCTTGCCCTTTCCTAACTTTCCCCATGTTTCATAGGTGCTTCAGGACAAGGCGTGGAGCAGCCTGCCACGTTGATGTCTGTGGAAGGCTCCTTTGTTCAGATCAACTGCACGTACAGCACGTCAGGGTTCAATGGGTTATCCTGGTACCAGCAACGCGAAGGCCGAGCGCCTATATTTCTCTCTTACGCGGTTCTGGATGGTTTGAAGGACAGTGGGCCTTTTTCCACATTCCTGAGGCGCTCAGATGGGTACAGTTACCTCCTTCTGACAGAGCTCCAGATCAAAGACACCGCCTCCTACCTCTGTGCTGTGAGGGACACGGTGACTGTGACGCCTCTGCAGCTGCACAAAAATTCAAAGGGGGCCACAGCAGGGGAGGGGTTACATTTCCTTAGTGTGTGCTTGCTGTGAATCAAGGCTGGGTCCCTTGGAAACAGCCTGGATTTGAGTTTGCCGCTTTCTATCCCGGTGGGTTTAAGCAAGCTACTTTAACATAATTTTTACATGTACTGATTGTTTTTTTTTTTTTTTTTTTTTTGTTTTTTTTTTTTTTTTCTTTTTGTTGTTGTTGCTGTTAGTTTAGTTTTCTCATGTATACAATGAGGCTAGGAACACTCAGAATGCGTTTTATAAAGTTTCAGTTTTGGGGGCTGGAGAGATGGCTCAGGGTGTTAAGAGCACTGGCTGCTCTTCCATAGGTCCTGAGTTCAATTCCCAGCAACCACATGGTGGCTCTCAACCATCTATAATGATATCTGGTGTCCTCTTCTGGGCTGCAGGCATACAGGCAGGCAGAACACTGTAAACATAATAAATAAATAAAATCTTAAAAAATAGTTTCGTTTCTTTATAAAGTTGAAGGTATCTAAAGGCTGTAGATCCATGACAGTATACTTGTTGAGTGAAAGCAGAGTCTGAGAGAGCAAGGGATTTAAAGACCTAAGTTCTCTAGCTTGAGGAGGAGAGAAAATAGCCTTTATAAATGAGCCTCAGAACTGGCATACCAGCAATGCTGGTGTATTTTATAGGCCACACAGCCTGACACAATGTAGCAGGAGATTGCAGAGAGTTGCTTGAAATCACTGGAATCATCTTGTTGATTGGCTACCATCTACTAGACCCACCTTCACCCTGTGTGTGTGTCTGTGTGTGTGCATGTGGACACACACAGACACACACACAGACACACACACAGACACACACACACACACACACACACACACACACACACACACACACACACATCATAGCCACTTGTGGAAGTCAGAGGGTAACTTGCCAGACAAATATCAGCTCTCCCCTTCTATCAAGTTGGTCTTGAGACTGAACTCAGGTCGTCACCTTGGCAGCAAGCATCTTTACCCACTGAGCAATCCTACTGACTGAATGCTAAAATCTTTTGTTACCATCTCCTAGGTCTTTGAGAGCCTCCCTTCCCCCCACCCCACTCCTCAAGCTGCTTTCTTGCTGTGGTTTGGGTTGGGTAAATTCTATTGTTCTGTTCCCAGGCTCTCCGATTCAGATTCAGATTCAATCGCTCTGATTTTCCTGTTGATTCTAACCAGAAAGACTTTTGATTTAAGTTTTAATTTTTCAGCTCTCTAATTTACTTGATGTTCTTCTCCATATATTTTTTTCCTGACTGAGATGTTCTAGTTTCGTATTTAACAGGAATTGCAATTATTTGTTGAAGCATTTTCACAGTAGCTGTTTAAGCATGCTGTCTCATGGGTTCAGAATCTCATTCATCTTGGTGTTGATGTCTGCTGTCATTTCTCATCCTCTTTGTGATTTTCTGTTTCTTAGAGTGAGAATAGCCATTATATTAGAAAACTTTGGCCCCCATTTAATTTTCATTTCAGCAAGCAGTTCATCTGTAGAGGTGTAGTGTGAGGGCTGGCTCCAGCTCATTCCATTTCATTGATGAGAGGGCACTTTGCATATTGTAGGATCCCCTTCCTGCTTGCTGAGGAACTGGGACATTGCTTGTTTCTGCCACAGTGGCAATGGAAGATTTGCATTCTACTCACTAGGTAGAATGTGGGTTAAGTTTTGCTTTTGTTTTTTTGAGACAGGGTTTCTCTGTGTAGCCTTGGCTGTCCTGGACTCACTTTGTAGACCAGGCTAGCCTCGAACTCATAGAGTTCCACCCGCCTCTGACTCCCTGAGTTTTGGGATTACAGGAGTGCACCACTGTGCCCAGCTTGGGGTAAGATTTTTATGTTGGGGTTTGTCTGGAACAGGAAGCGCACTGCCTGAAGAAAAAAAAAGGCTACTACGTTTTTCCTTGATCTTTGAGGAGCACAGCTTTCCTGGGTGTTTGCGCTATGCCTGTTGGTGGCCTGTCTGGGAGTCTTTTAGATTTGTATAATCATGGGATATTGTTTTCCAAATGTTTTTACTTTTAACACATCTCTGTGTCTTTGCATTTAAAGTCAGTCTCTTGCTTGGAATGAAGCTCAGTTTGTAGAGTGACTATTTAACCTTCACAAAGCCCTGGTTTCAAAGTCCCCAGTTTCACATAAAATCAGGTATGGTAGCATACACATTGGGAGATGGAAACAAAAGGATTTAGGGTTGTCAATGCCTGGCCCAACCTGAGACTCACCCCATGGGAGAGAGCCATCCCTGACACTATTAACGATATTCTGCTATGCAGACAGGAGCCTAGCATAGCTGTCCTCTGAGAGGCTCCACCTATCAATGATTGAAACATACTGAAACTCACAGCCAAACATTAGGTAAAACTAAGGAATCTTGTGGGAAAGTGTGTGTGTGAGAGAAGACTAGAAGGACCTGGAGGGGACAGGAGCTCCACAAGGAGACCAGCAGAGCCAACTAACCAGGACCTGGAGGGGCTTGTGGTGACTGAAGCACCAACCAAGGACCCTACATGGATTGGACCTAGACCTCCTTCACAGATAATATAGCCAATGGGCAGCTCAGGCTCATGTGGCTTCGCTAGTCAGGGGAGTGGGGACTGTCTCTACATGGACTCTATTTCCTGCTTTTTTGATCACTTCTCACTGGTGGGGCTGCTTCACCAGACCACAGGGGAAGAGGATATGCTCAGTCCTGATGTAACTTGATGAGCTGGGGTGGGTTGGTAGAAGGGGGGCTCCTGTTTTCTGAGGAATAGAGGAGAGGGGATGGGGAAGAGGGAGGGGGATGGGGCTGGGAGGAAAGGAGGGAGAGGGCTACAGTCAAAATGTAAAGTGAGTAAATAAGTAAGTAAGTAAGTAAGTAAGTAAGTAAATAAATAAATAAATAAATAAATAAATAAATAAGTAAGTTTAAGGTTGTTCTTAGCTACATATTAGAGTCAAAGCCAGCCTGGGGTACATGGGGTCTTGTTTTTAAAAAAGTTCATTAAATTAAAAAAAAAATTTAAAAATTATTTTAGAAGGGAATTTGATTGAGAAAACTTGAAGAGTTCATAATGCTATATATACAACTTATAATAATTGAAAGAAGTGATATTCTAGGAGATGTTTTTATATATTAAACATCATTAAAAAGTAGTATGCTAATTACTAGTAAAAAGAATATGTTAATATACTCTCTAGAATTTAAGAGGGCTATAGAAAGTTGTTGTAATTTGTATTTAGTAAAATGAGTTTGTTGCATCAGTTCAGAATAGCATGGGGATAAGTTGTTCCTTGATAGTTCAAGTTAAAAATTTATCACCATGAAAAAAGTAGACATTTAATTCTTTTTATGGAAACAAAAATATAGTCAAAATCTTTGGCAGGAAAGAAAATTAGTAACTTAAAAAATGGCAAAAACATTACTTTAGGATATCAGTTACTTCAAGTATACACCAACATGGATGAAGTGATAAATAGAAAAAAAAAAAAAAAACAAGTATCAGTTTTTCAACTACTAAGTATATTTGATGCCTCTTTCTATTCTCAGTTGAAAATATTTAGATTTTCTTTATTAATACTAGAATTATCACAAGGGCCTTCACATTCCCTATGATTTTATTTTTAATTTATACAAAAATTCCAGAGGCTATGTCCCATGTGTTGAAATAATAAAAAAATAAAGGAAGGGATCCGAGATGGTGGTGCCGAGAGGACACTGTATCTGACAAGCAGCACAGTGACCAACAGACTGAACTCTGGGCCCTAAAACACCAGTGATTGTGTTTCCCAGTTGAGAGGAAACCCCACAGTGTGGGAAGCAATCGGATCCATTCTCAGGTCACCCAGCTAAATCTCAGAAGAGTTCCTGGGTCACAGCAGGTGCTCTGTTGCCAGCCCAGAGCCACATGCCTGCGTGCTCTGATCACTGTCCTAGGCTGGACTGTAGGCACCACAACATCAGAGACTGAGATTTCCATTTGAGAGAAAACCCCATGGTGAAGGAAGCAATTGGGATTGACCTCAGGTCACCCAGACAATTCTTAAAAAGGTCCTGGGTTCTGGCAGGCACTCAGCCACCAGCCCAGTGTGGGGCACTCATTTGCCAGCCCAGAGACCTGCCTCAGTGCCCGACTCACCATCCCAGACAGAACTGTGGGCCCCCGGGTACCAGAGACTGGGCTTCTCTGTTAGGAAGAAATCCAACATTAATGGAAACTGCTGGCCCAACCTCAGGGCACTCAGCCAAATTCCCCCCACCAAATAAAAAGTTCTTGGGAAAAGTTCCTGGGTTCCTACAGGTGTCTAGCTGCCAGAGCAGAGTGACTTGCCTGCGCCTGCATGCTCTACTCACCATCCCAGACTGAACTGTGGACCCCAAAACACGACAGACTGGGAGTCTCTGTTGGGAGGAAACCCCATGGTGGGGAAACATCAGGCCCGACCTCAGGACACCCAGTTCCGGAAAAGATTCTGGGCTCCCACAGGCTCCAGACTCTAACCTCCTGCTGCATGAAGGAGGGCTGTGCTTACCTCCCATTGATTACCACTTGGGTACTGGGGCACAGAGCTTCAACGTCAGACCTACAGAAGCCTGGGATCCATGGGTTCAGCCCCAGACACTGTACCAAGGCACAACCTGTCTCCCTAGCTAAACTGAGTAAACCATGGGGCTCCCTGGTTCTTCAAGAGGGATGTGCCCAGCAAACACAGTGTAAGAACAGCAGCAGCAGCCACTAAATTCAGAGCAAGTAACCCAGTGGCAGGGCAGCTGTCTCCAGAACTTCTCTTGGTGAAAGGAGAGCCCCCTGACTACCAATGACCACAGTTACCACACAGGTCCATATGCCTGAGGTGAGCTGTAGCAATTCCTGAGAAGCACCAGCTATTCGGTGACCATACCCAAAAAGCTCAGGAGGCAACCATCTTCCTGCCAAGGGATTTTCCCCACCCCAGGATTCCAGGAGATACCAGAAACTAACAGTCAACACCTGAGACCATCAGATGGATAGAAGCCAGTGTAAAAGTACAACCAACAAAAGCCAA